ATAACGCTGTAACTTACAGAAAAAATTTGTCGTCTGTTTACATCATTAGGTCTGGAGATTGATTATGTATTAATAAAACGTGGTGAAAATTGCAAAAGTGAGCAAATTTATTGGCTGTAGGCCAATGAAATTGTAAATATTCTAATAAATTTGTTCACTTTTATAATTTTTACCAAGCTTTGTTAGTACACAATTAACCTCCTGTTTATTTTCAATGAACTTCACAGTGATGCAATAAATTAGAAAGTGACAAATATACTTTTTTTTATTCTAAATTATTGTAATGGCCTGCACTTTGTGAACTTAATAGTTCATTATTTTGCCGTTTACAATCATGCTATCATCAACGCGAAGTTCTCGGTCGACTGATCAGGAGCCTTAAGGCTTTTTGTACTTTGCTGCGACCATGTTGAATTTGTGACATTAAAAGCGAGAAATGACACGCTGACGAAAGTCGTGTACCATTTTTAAATAAAGATGAATACGAACAAAAGAATATTTGAGATTATTTAAATTAGATATATTACATATACAAGATATTCTTTGCACATTGTAGAACATATATTTACATGTACAGCACAAATGTTCAATAGATATCTTAAGAACATTCTTAGAATATTCGAATATTCTTAAAACTTAAATATTTTTAGAATATCTATTGAACATTTGTGCTATATGGGTTACATATAAAAAGTATTACATATAAAAAGTATATAGTAAATGGATTACAAGTAAAAAGTAAGTTTTATGTGGATGTAAGAAAAAGCGTATATCTGTTGCATTCACACAGATATATGAGCATAAGTCATGAGGATATCGTCATTCGCAAATTATTTGCATAACCAGTTCCTGTTCGATCACTGAAGGTAAATACCGATGATTATATTCAGTAAAAGGATGGATGACCGCGCACAGATGCATGAAATTTTACAAATAAAAATAAATGAAAATATTGTAAAATATTGAAATAAATAATGAAAACAAATGTTCGATGTATGTACACATACGCATAAGCAATGTACATTGCTAACTTACAAATATTATAATATATATATAGACAAATATATATATATAATTGACAAAATTAATATACATACATACATATATATATATATATATATATATATATATATATATATGTACACGGAGAAAATACTAAGGATATCACTTTTCTAGTTGTCATAACACAATATTAATGTTATTTTTCTCCCATACATACAAGATGGTTGTAATAATCATAGTACTATGAAAATAGTACACTAACCTTCTTTACTGCCTATCTCCATATGTGTTTGAGTAATACTTTCAGTACTGTATCGTGCAACCAAACTCTAAAATCTAATGATAACTCTAATGATCTTTCAACCATAGTATTTGTTCTACCACAACAAAGAGACAGCAATATTTCTTTAGTTAAAGTAACTATGTGTACGAGGATGTGCCAATTGAACATTATATATCATAAGAACTATATTTGTGAGAATTGTATGCAATACAATAATATGGGCATGCAATAACAGACACTTTTAACTCTCCATTGCCCTCATTCGGCTGACGAACGTTAGTACTCTCGTATAAGCGAAATGCCGCACCTGACATCAATTGAATTTAAAGGAAAATTTAAATATTGCTGCATTAATACGGCTTCATAAAAATGAGTAGATGCATTAAAACATTGATTTATTACTGATCCATCAGAGTAAAGCTTAAATTTAATAACAGCACGAGTCGTATTAATCTCATGTATTTATTCTCGCTATGAACGCGCGCTGACACTTCCCAGAGTCTACTAGTAAAAGTTATACTAACAAAATTAAGAAAACGACCATACAAATATAATCTAAAAAGTTGTAAGTGAAAACCAGAAAGTTTCAAAGCCAATTGTGAAGCTACTTTTATATAATTAAAAAATAAAATTTCAACTGAGCGAGCTCGTATCATACGAAAGCAATGGATTGATATCTATTAGCAAAAATTAAGCAAAAATTAAGAAAGCTATCACACAAATATGATTCTATAAGATTGATTCTATATGATTTATCTAAAAGGTTATAAAGTCAGGAAGTTTTAAGTCAACTGTTATAAGCCATCTTTATTAATTAGGAAATAAGATTTCATCTGAGAGTTTACAAGGGCAATTGAGGATTAATGCCATATTTATTTCGCTTGATATCACATTTTCTTTTTAACTATAGAATATGTGAATATAGCAATCATAGTGGTTTCCTCCGTGTATGTGTTATGTATATCCAAAGAATATACAGAATGGATATACAAAAATTATGATAACGATACGTTGTACGTACATGCATGAATTGTTTGATGTATATTACATCAATAACATTTGTACATATATTTGATATATATTATACATACAATACATCACAAGTATATTCACCCTGTATATATACAGGGTGAGTAAAAAGTTTAGGACCGGTGAAATATCTCGAAAACTAAGCATTTTCGAAAGAAATGTTCCTACAAAAGTTGTAGGGTTTTAAATGATCTATTCACTGATCTAATCAGTCTGACTTTGAATGACGCCACCAAGGTCAGATCGAGGTCAACTTTGCTTTTTTAAATAGAAACATATATTTTTTATTACGGAATTTTATTCTACGTAAAGAAACAAACTTTTGTTTGGAAAAATTTTTTATACAATCTCTATTTTCTAAGATATTTACTGAAATATCTACAAAATTATTGGATTTAATAATTTTTTATTCAAATTCTATTAACTTTACCGAAAAATAGCAAGAGATAAAAATTGTTTATTTTTCATAGAGCTCTGAGAATTTTTTATAAACGTTTTAGTACTTCAAGAAAATGCAAGAAAGTGCAGTATTAAGAAGTTAATTAAAAAATTCTGAGAAAATTCTCAGAACTCTACTAGAAGAAAATAAACAATTTTTATCTCTTGCTATTTTTCGGTAAAGTTGATAAAATTCGAGTAAAAAATTATTGAAACCAATAATTTTGTAGATATTTCCATAAATATCTTAGAAAATAGAGGTCGTATAAAAATTTTTTCAAACAAAAATTGTTTGTTTCTTTACGTAGAATAAAATTCCGTAATAAAAAATAGATGTTTCTATTTAAAAAGCGAAGTTGACCTTCGAATAACCTTCAAAATGACCTCCAAGGTCAAAGTCAAGGTTACCTTCAGATATCCTCCTCTGAACCCGACAACTTTTATCTAAAACATTTTTGCTGAATATACTTGCCTGAAGAATTATCAGGGTGTATCTTTTAAAATGGGACACCCTATATGTATATAATATATCCAATATTCACAAACGTATATACATGGTATGTCCGAATGCTTTGTGAATATAAGCCGAAACCTCCCTTTATAAGCTTATCTCCTACTTATCATTAAAATAATTCTTCATAAATTTCACATCTAAGCTCAAATCTTACGTAAGAGTTCTTGTTGCAGTTTTTAGGATATTATTTTAGTAATTTATTAATTTATTAATTTAACAATACTTATTAATTTAATAGTAACACGAAAGATTTAGAGAAAACCACTATAAGATTCCTATATCCATATATTTTATGATTAGAGAGAAAATTTATATAATTTCAAGTGAAACAGATATGGCATTAAAAGTTGCTGTTATTACGTGCCTATCTAGTTTTCACAGCCATAGTCTTAACGATACATAATGTTCAGTTAGCACATTCTCATGTGTATAGTCATGTCATAGTTGCCTCAATCAAAAGAATATTGCTATCTTTCTGTTATGGTTTACAAAACAAATATCATAGTTAAGAGATCCACAGAGTTTGGTTGTACTATATAGCAGTATAAGAGTACTACTCGGACACATATAGATACGCAATAAAGAAAATTAATATAACTTCCAGAATATTATGAGTATCATAATTATTATAATTATTATAGTAATAGGCGAAAAATAACATTAATATTTTCTTATGGTAACCATATTTAGGTAAGTGATATCATTAGTGTTTTCTCCGTGTAGAATATTTTTACAGAAACAAACCCGCGCGTACGTGCGTAAATATAAAAAATGTGAACAAAAAGAATAATATGCGAATAATATGTTTGTAGTAACGACACAACTGAGTATAATCACGTATAAAATTGACTTTAAAGTGATATATGTTAGAAATTATATGCGACCTCTACATATATACGACTCAGAACTTCACTTTTTATAAATATTATATATCAAAATGAAAGCAATCCGTTAGATGTTTTTGTAAGTGTACTGTAAGAAAAACTTTTTGTAAACATAATTACCTCTTTATTTTTTAATCAATGATATAATAAGTTGAGTATCTTAAAAAGTAATACCTAATACAAAAAAATACTATTCTATAACAATATTATTTATATGCTATACATAGTTTAAGTAAAAACTGATAAAAATAACTTAGCAAAGATTTTAAAGCCAATGAGGAATGAATACGGCTGTTGTAGTGTTATATTAATATTACCAACATGTAATATTAAAGTTTCTTTGTGGGAGGATAAAATTGCACAGGAAGAGTAATTGATTCCTTTTATTATTTAAATATTGAAAAAAAATAGTCCTGGCTGAGGCAGTATTTTTTCGCAACATTTAAATAATAAAAGGAATCAATTACTCAAGGGTATCGGATTCTGGGAATAAAATTCGCGTTAATATTAGGATACAGGATCGATCTAAGCGTGGAAGGTTAATTCGCCGTGCACGATTACTGAAGAAAAATTTGGACGTACTTCTCACATGCTATGTATGTGTGGACAATTTTATCCTCCCACAAAGAAACTTTAACATTGGTAATTTTAATATAACACTTTAATACAACAGTAATACGACACTTTAATACAACATTTTAATACAACAGCCGTGTTCGCTCCTTACTGGCCTTAAAATCTTTATTAAGTTATTTGAATAATAATAGGAGCTTCATATATAATTTCGTGATAAAAATAAAATTCTTGTACACTGAGAGAAAAGACTGGTAACTATAATAAACTGCATTTAATTACAGAAATTCATTAAATCTTTAGTAACTAATATTAAATATGATAATAATTACCAAATATTTAATAGATCGGGAGTATGGCATAATTGCATTCACAGTAACATCAATTAAATAATTTAGTAATAGTTACTTAATGTTAAATATTTAATATAAAATATATTACAGTTATGAACAGATATTTGATAATTATTATGAAATCGTTATATCCCATATAATAAAAAATTCAGTAGGTACGAGTTCTATTTTGTTACCAGTATAAATATGTTTTGTTGCAGCACAACGAAAAATTCATTCATTTGCAACTATTACATCGTTTCAATATCTATTATTACAGATAGTTGGTTGAACCTATCAAAAATTTTGTAACTATTACAAAATCGCTTATTTTGCCTCGACTATTCAATAAGTTTTATTTACCAAATATATTCTGGAAGCAAATAAATTTTACTTCTGTCAAATAAATAATTTATTTTACAGAACTAAATTAATTAATAAGTATTGCCATAGCTTTGGCCCGCTATATTTACGTCTATCATTTAGTAATGGTAATCAAATTTTGATAATATTTACTAAATTCTTCTCTCAGTGTAAGTACTTAATTACTCATGGGTACCCTTAATATTTTCACGACGGATGAGTGATCGAGTGTCAAGTCGACATACGTTTCTTTGTGCTAGATTTCTTCTATTGTGCTTTGTTTCGGCGTGGGAAACGTGACGGACAAAAGAACGCGCGACAACCATGCTGGACCTCTTCGCACCTATTAAGTGCCTTCTGCGGGAAGAATCCGTCTGTATCGACAATGTGGTTTTCAGGTTACATTCGCGCGTCACCGTTCTCCTGCTGGTCGTTTGCACCATCCTCGTGACTGCCAAGCAATACATCGGCGAGCCGATTTCTTGTTTAACCGATGGTTCCATTGGTATGAATCTCACTAACCTCCAGCTGCAAGCGTATACTTCTTTACATTGTGACAACGCGAAAACATAAATCGCGATGCAACGTATCTAAAAAATCACTTTAGAGTGTATTTTTTAAAAATATCGTGAATATCTTTAGGTATTTTATCATTAATTGTTCGTGGGCAGAAATTGTCAATTTGACGACAGTATATCGAAACGTCACTTTAGAATACTTTTAAAACGATCGCGCGTATTTTTCAGTATTTTACCATCAACTCCTCATGGGTAAATATTTTCAATTGGACAACAATATATCCAAATGTTACTTTAGAATATCTTTGAAAAGATCCGCGCGTATTTTTAAGTATTTTACCATCAATATCTGGCCAGAAATTGTTTCGTACTGATAACAGGTAATATGTGTCAAGCGTCAATCAAGCCTAAACATTTATTAGGCCAGAATTCATTAGTCTTAACTATCATGTTTGGATATAATATGATACGATATCATATGTCTGCCAAATAACAGATTAGTTGAATAATCAAGTTATAACGTATATGTCTAAACACATGATATGTGCGTTTAGAAGGACTAGTGAGTTTTGGTCTAGCAAACGTTAAGGTTTTATTGAAGCTTAGTGTATATTGACGCAGCTGACGCAGTTCTTTACATTGATCATTTTTTTCTCTTTCTCTCTCTCTTTCGCTTCCTCTATTTGCACTGATCACAACATAACATTCTTCATGCCTCTCTAACAGACAAGGATCCCGTAAATGCGTATTGCTGGATCTATAGCACGTTCACGGTATCCCGACATCTGAACGGCATTCCTGGACGTGGTGTCGCTAGTGCTGGCGTAGGACAGGCTCTTCCGAATGATGAAGCTCGTCATCATCGATATTATCAGTGGGTCAGTTGGGCTCAGAACTATTACGATATAGACGGCGAGATATGTAGTCGATAGATTGAGATGCGAACAACGGAGAGGGAGGAGAGAGAGAGAGAGAGAGAGAGAGAGAGAAAGACAAATTGAAAGCTCGATGTGCTAAAAGATACGTACTTTGACAATCCATCAATATAGAAGCTTCCCTTTATATGTTTTTTGATCTTTATTTAAAGGAAGGTTCTGGTTTAAATAGTCGAAAAAATAGGTTTTTATAAGTTTCTTTTCAAAGGAACAGATAAAAATAACAATATAGAGTTTTGATCATACTATTTATCATTATTTTGAGTATAAGAAGTTATTAAAAAATCGAAATTCCGTCCAGTTTTCAGTTCAAAGGAACAAATAAAAATAACAATATAGAGTTTTGATCATACTATTTATCATTGTTTTGAGTATAAGAAATTATTAAAAAATCGAAATTCCGTCCAGTTTTTCTGTGCTGGGAGTGGTTTTATCGGACACCTCTAACTAGTGGATAATATTACAGTTCGTGTAATAATCTGAAACATACGGGAGAGAGAGATGAGGAAATTTAAAAACCATAAATTTTCTGAAGGATGAATCTATGTTATATATAGAAAGTCGAAATTTAACAAAATAACGGCACTTTAAAATTACAAGTCGTTTTTCCTCTCTCTTTCCTTTTTACTTAATGTCTTGGGAGGAGAATACTAATTTTGTAAATTTTCCAAAGGATTTAGATTCGTCCTCCAGCAAACTTAATACAGTTTTCAAATTTTCTTGTTCCATTTTCAGATTATTACACAAATTGTAGTATTTGTCCATCAATTAGTTAGAGACGTCTGGCGACACCAAACTCGGTACAAAAAGCCTAGACGAAATTTCAATTTTTAAAAAATAATTCTTTTGTATTTAAAATAATAATAAATGTGATCAAAATTATATATTGATACTTTTATTCATTTCCTTAAAATTAAGAAATTTATAAAAATTTCTTATTTTTTCGGTTATCTAAACCAGAACCTTTTCTTAAACGCGGAGATAATTTTATACACTGAGAAGAAAAATACGTAAAAGATAAAAGAGATTTCCTAGCGAGTACTAATAATGTTCTTACTTACATCTAAATTCTTTTATTCAAGTAGAATAAATATTGCTTTATAAAAATTATATAATATAAAAATTGCTTTCATAAAAAGCTATGGTTTTAAGAGACCACATTTTTTCATTGGAAAATAAATTTTTCTTAATACAGAAACATGAAGATGGATACAAGCAAATATGCTTTTAGAGCACCCATGGAAAATAAATACTTATTAATTTTTAGATATTTCTCCTTTCTCACATACAGCACGCGCTCTTTCTCTTGTAATCGGATCATCTTAAATTCAACCGAGACTCCTATCTTCGGCGGAGCTCTCGGAGGAAAATTTCCTCCGAGGAGAGTAAGACTGACTCAAAATTCCTCCAAGATAAACCCTTAAATTGTTTTCCGATGGGGTGTGCTGAAAAATAGAAAAGCAGCGAAGAGAAATGCCGGGGACGTACATACGCACGCACGCGCGCACGCGCGTGTGTGCCCGAATTGTTCGATCGTATAAGTTTTCATATCGCGAATGCACACACCGACTCGCGCTCGACGTACGCGGGATGCATGATAACGATTGCACTTCGTTCCGACGGTCAGGGAGCGCGCGCGGCTTCGGTATGCAGACGTATTGCGCGAGCGTGAATGAAATCGACAACGTAGACACGCGGGTGTGCGCGCGTGTGTGTGTGTATGTGTGAGAGGAAACGTCCGAGAGGGGACGGAAGGCAGCGGGACCGGGAGGTGGAAATGGAGATCGTAGATCCGCCGTTACCCACATCACCCTGTATCGCAATTCGACCCGTGGGCATCGCTAAAAGCGAGGGTCTTTTCTGAACCCTTGCTTTCAGCAGTAGGGGCGTTTCGCGAAATATTAGAACGTGCGATAAATATCAGGTCGGCGCAAAGGGTTCGCCGCGCGTTCGTCAAGTAAAATATAAACGAAATTATCCACTTTCGTAGGATTCATAATTTTTACGAATTAAATGAGCGACATTGGTTCGGGATTTCTTAGACATCTAACGAGGATTTCTTCCTATTTTCTTTTTGATATCCAAACTTCCTGTGAGAATAGAAAAATGACAAATCCCTTGTACCAGACAATCTAATAGATTTGTTGCGCAGTTTTCGCGGAATAGCTTTAGAGAAAATTTCGGTGTCGGCGCACAAACATTTTCATTTCTTCGCCTTTCGCGATGTTGAATTGGAATTTGCGACGATACTTTTTGTTCGCGTCTGTTACAAAGAGAGAATGCGGAAAAGCAAAGCTTAAAGCTTTTGGTCTTGCGCCGTGAACAATTTGATTGGTGATGTCAGAAACGAAAAAATACATGTTCATAGTTCTTGCAAAGTACGTTGAAATAAAGAAACATGTCCATAAAATGACGTAGTCATTCAATAGATTTAAAATAAGCAGTAAATAATTACGAATAGTCAATTAATAGTCATAAAGAAACGCGAAAATTAGTTGAAAAGAAAAGCACATGTCACATTAACCTTTTCAGGGATAAATTTGTTAAGAGTAAAAAGTTAAAATTTATCTAATTTTGAAGTGACATAATATATGACACCTTTCAATCATATAACAATATTTCTCTTTCTTTCATCGTGGAATTTTGTGGGGAATATCTATTTATAACTATGCTCATTATATTTTTTTTAATTAAATTAAGAAAATGGAAATATCTAAACGTACACGGACACCTGCCTATCATATAATAATATTTATCTTTCTTTTATCTTGGAATTTTGTGGCGAATATTTATTTATAACTATGCTCATTATCAATTAAATAATAGAAAAAAGGGTTAATTCGAGTTCAAGCACAGGATTAATAGTGCTATGTACCATATGGGTAAAACCTTCCTTGTGTTAGGAAATAGAGCAATATTTATTGAACATGAATACTCAATATAAATAATCAAACGTTTCGGCTCAATCATGAACCCTCTTCAGTGATATAAAAAAACTCAAGGTTTACAAAACGAACGCATTACAAGTAAAAGAATTAATTAAAGACATGTTAATAAAATGACATGAATGTTATTCGCAGTATTATAGCTGACAAGACCGTTACCCGACTAATATTAAGAAGTTCAAATTAATACTAGGAAGTAGCCGTCATAACTATAAAAAAACCATAAAATAAAATAAAAATAGGTAAGATTAAAACAAATAAATAATTAAAACGGTCAATATAAATTACCTTTGTTGAGCTCGGCTAAAAGTGAAACGATCCTGTCAACGATAACATCGCCACGTCTAAGTAAAAGAGATAATAACAGATTTATATACACGAGCATTAACATTGCGGCGACAACTCTTGGAAGAGAAGGAAACAAAGTTTTATTTTCATAATAAGCCGCAGTAGCTGTTGTCCAAATATCCTGTGTCCTTTTGAGAGTTAAGTCCATGCTTTTGAAATTTAATGTAAATCATTTCTGATATCAGGCGTTTCAAATAATAACGTTCCTCATGCAAAACTTTGGCTTGATCCCAATTGAAATCATGGTTTTTTCGCAGACGGTGTTCTTGTATGGTCGTTAACTCAACTGTAGAACTCCTTGGTATTCTCCTATGCTCAGCAATGCGCGTAGAGTCTTCTACTAGTTTGACCAACATACGACGCCTCACAACTATTGCATTGCAATTTATACACAACGTTATTATGGAAACCAGGAGACAACCTGTCTTTATGTACACGAATCATTCCTGATAATTTATTATTGCAAGAATAAGCAATATTTGTCAAATTATTTTAAAAAGCTTTGCCAGTCTGTTCGAAGCCACACTAAAAAACGGTATAGTAAAATATTTTTTATCATAACCAGATGCTGTCAAATTTGTTTTAACTATCTCTGAACCTCGTCCGCAATTCACAGTAAGAAATCTTAATCTACGTTTTATAATTTTAAAAATTAGGTCCAAAGGATAATTATTATTAATTAGCGTCAAAATAATAAAGTCTAAATTATTCTTATGGATTTTATTAAAGTCTCTAATTAATTCTTTTACTTGTAATGCGTTCGTTTTGTAAACCTTGAGTTTTTTATATCACTGAAGAGGGTTCATGATTGAGCCGAAACTGATTATTTATATTGAGTATTCATGTTCAATATTGCTCTATTTCCTAACACAAGGAAGGTTTTACCCATATGGTACATATCACTATTAATCCTGTGCTTGAACTCGAATTAGCTCTTTTTCCTATTATTTAATTGATATCATTGTTATTGAGTTTTTATTTTCTTTCTCTTAATAGGCTCATTATATTTTTCTTGAATTGAACGAGAAAAATTGATATATCTAGACGTACACATATATGTTAATTAAAATATGTTTCTTTACAAAAATTAAGTTTATCCAGCTATTATTAAATCAAAATAAAGAATTTCAGAATATCTTACAAGTAGGTTTATTCGATCGTAAATATAGTTTAATAAATATTTTTGATTTCAACTAGAACGCAAGAATTTCTGCGAAAATTTGTGTGTATTTTCTCGTACCTGATACAATCAATAAAGCTGACATAATTAATAAGGCGGCGAGGAGTCAGGAGTCTTACGAGGATATTCTTATTTGAAGAAGATAAAACATCGATTTTGTTATGTATTTTAAGTGTATCACTAAGGTAAATATATTTGGATCGAGTGAAATAACGAAGATATAGCTAAATCACACACACACAAGCAAGTGAACGCCGGATTTGATAATCAAGTAAGTCGTGTCTCTAAACGACAAAGTTTTTCGAAGGTATTCGGAAAAATACCTGTGAAAATTATATGCTAAATCAATATGATTAAAGATGTTTAAGAGTATGAATTCAAAATAGCAACGAAATTTTTGTCTAAATTTTATATCTATGTTCCTAAATATATGTTTTATGGTAAAAACACAATTGAAATAGCAAATTTCTTAGCCGTTTGTGTTTTTTATAAAAAATTTTATTCAATTTTACGAATTATGGCTTTCAGCATTGGTCAACTAACGAATATATTTGCAGAGTTTCAAAACGTAGAAAACGTGCATTGACAGGTCTGAGCGCCAGTTGTTAAAAGAAATAAAAGGGGCTAGAAGATCTCGCAAAGTAGAGAAAAATCGGCTTTGCACGTGCTGCATGTGGAAGAAGAAGATACTCTGTATGGTGCAGAAATAGCAGATTAAGGATAAGAGCCGCAAAAGACTATCATCCCTATTGAAATTGTATTGAAAACTTTAAACGCGTTCTTTTTGAAATTATATCTCGCGAATTGATTGCCATCATATCTAAAGATACAAATATCCTATTGATTCCTACTCTTTTTACAATACTCTTTTCACAAATTTATAGTTTAATAATTTCTTTGCCGTTTTGGTTTCAGAAGTCTGCAACGTCCGGAATCGTGGCAACTTTACAAGCAAAACTTTCTTAAAGCGCTGCACTAAATTATTTATAATTTTATTATTATTGAAGATAATGACCTGTACAAATTATTGTATATAGTTAAAGTATAGATAAATATTTGTGCAAAACTACAGAATTGTATATATATTGTATAGTTTAAAAAAAAAAAAACTTAAAAATCATATATAAAACGATATTTCCTAAAAATTACATGTAAAACGATATTTCAAATGAGAATATCTTCTTAACTCTAGAGAGATAACGTAACTTTTACTTATACTGAAGATTTTAAAGCTCTTAGCTACTCACTGCGGCTATCTTAATGTATATAACGTTAGGAGTGGGAAAATTAATGCTTAAAATTCCTGCAAAATACGTAAAAATAGGAAGATATATATTTAAAATAACACTTGCAAGTGATCGAATAGATCTATAAAATAGCTCGAATACTTTTCTTTTACTCTAACGATTGATAAATAATCATAAAATTAACGTGATAAATTATTTTTTTTATATTTTAACGTCCCATATAATGCATTATATTTCTAATCTTCGTATTCTAATCTTCCTAAAATAAATTAAAAGTCGTATAGCACTTCTTGAATCTAAATTAGTCCTCACTTTTACATATATATTGTCCATGCTAGAATTTCACACACACAACGCCTCTAGTCTTTATCAATTCAACACAATATCGTATTTCAATGTTTCCAATTTTCCTTCTTCTAAATAATCTCAACCTCTCTTCCTGATATCTATTGAAAGTGAAAGATAATATGGTTAATATCTTTTATTATATGTAATACAATCATAAGAAAAGATAGGATAAAAGATTTCATGTCACGTTAATTTTACAATTATTTATTGAAGTGTTTGGACTATTTTACACACATCTACTCAATCGATTGCATATATTATTTTACAGATACATCTTTTTATTTCTACGTGTTTCGCCGCTTGGTATCGAAAGAGGAGGAGTCTTAACCCTAGAAAGGTAGCAATAATCTATTATATGTTACGATTAAGGTAAGAATGAGTAATTTTTATTCATTTAAGTAACATCTCACAAAAAAGCAGTAGCATCTGTTTCAATGAGTGGTGAAATAAATGCTAAGAGGCGAAGCTGAAAAAGGCTTTCAGCATGAGTAAAAGTTATTTTACGCTATCTTTCTAGAGTTGAGCCAGAAAATCGGAAATAAGAAGAAAACCCGGAAATATAAGAAATAAAGATTCGACGTCCGATAGGTCTGCTTCGTCCTCGGCTTGCAAGCAATCCTTTTTTATATGCCGCGCGCGTTATGGGGCATCTGGGAAAGAGGCACCATAGGCCTTCTCTCGCGAGACCTCGCGTCCCCATTTCTACGAGACGTCTGGACCGCAGAAAGGAAGCAGCAGCTCGTGGATTATTTCACTAAAACGAATCTGCACAGTCACAATTTCTACGCATTCCGTTTCTTCGTGTGCGAGCTGTTGAACCTTTTAAATTCGGTAAGTGTGACTCTCGCTCTCTTCCTCTTTTTCTCTCTTTCTTTGCTCGTCTCTTCGAGGTAACAAAAGGGTCCGCGAGGATTCTTTACAAAAAGGCTAGCAAACGCTGTCAATACCTACGTCAGTCACCCGAGATTGTGACGTCAGAGGCGAGGAAATTGCGCGGAAATAAACGTGAATAATTAACTCCGGTTCGATACCCGAGCAGAGGCAGAACGCGGTCGAAACTTTGTTGCAAACCCGATACACACACACACACATAAACACATACATACATATATATATATATAGTATATCGTGTAGAAATATACGTCAAGGGACCTCAACGTAAAATACAGCCACTTTATCGCAGTTCCTTAAAAGTTCAGTTTCATAAAAGCGAGAAAATCGATGATTTCTTCGTTTTTTACGTTTGAAGACTTTTGACGTTTACTTTCCTCTTTCTACGATTATATTCCGAAGAAGTGCTGCCACGAAATACGCGGCGGGGTGAAATCGCTAATCTCAGCGTGACTTTTTATCGTGCGAGGCAGATGGGGCAGATATATCTGTTGGACGTATTCCTGGAGGGACAATTCAGGCGATACGGACCCTTAGTGAGCGCGTTCGCCTTAGAGGAGGACCCTTACGACCGGGTCGACCCGATGGCGCGGCTATTCCCGAAGATGACCAAATGCACGATTCACACCTTTGGGCCGGCGGGTTCCGTGCAGACTCACGACGCCCTGTGCGTGTTGCCGTTGAATGTGGTGAACGAGAAGATCTTCGTCGTCCTATGGTTCTGGCTGGTGTTCCTCGCGGGTGTCGGGTTCCTGGCGGTGATATATAGGTGCGCCATTGGTCGGTGTCCGCTTGCGCGTAAAGCTAACGTTACGGCTCGTCAATATTTAACCCTTTCATACCTGCGGTTATGGCATGTATGTCCCACTTACCAAAAAAATCGTAACTTTAGAACAAATAGCTCTATCAATTTCTACCTTGGCTCGCTTTAAAGAAAAAAGTTGAGCTTACGTGTAAAAAATTAGTGTATTTCTAAATTTAGTATTTCCGATAAAATATAGTTATCTAAATTTTTTAAAAAGTTCAACTTTTAGCTGGCATACTATCGACGTTTCTTCAAACGTTTCTCCGTCTCGCTCAGAAAACTCATAGAAGAGAGAATCGTGTTTGATTGACAAGTAGTTTTATTGCCTGTAAAAGTAATATAACTGTATAAGTAGGTAGACGTCTGTCAATAGCATGTAGCAGATTTTGATTTACAATTTAAATAGCAGATTTCTATTTATAATTGAAAATGTGTCCATAAATTGTAATCACTATCTGAAGTCTATTATCTTAAATTTAAATTTTTAACGTTTAACTTAATTAGTAATCAGAGAAAAACTTAATCCAAGTTTATTTTAAACATATATTCAAGTTTTTCATGGCTGCCATTTTGAATTTTAATTTTGATAATATATTTGGGATCAGCGCTTCTATAATCTAAACTTCTATAATCGTCTCCATGTGAAACATATCTCTTCTGGGAAAGCCGGAGGTATGAAAGGATTAAGGAGTTTATTCACCTAAATCAAAATGCTTAAAATTATACAAAAATTTAATATAACATTTATTGTAGTAAAATACATTCATAGTTTCAAACGATTTATTTGTACTATTTATGATAAATTTAATACTAAATATTATGATTTTTGTATCTGATTAATACCTGTAACTTTGTGATAGAGAAGCAATATAGATGACCATTATTCCAGTGTAACTTCGTAAAAAATGATACTATCCAAATGAAAAACTTAGCGTTAAATGTTACATATTAGGAAACGCAGTATAGAAGAAAGAATAATATTCACTACATTGTTTTTGTGTATCAATGTCGATTCTAGATAAAAAAACTGCTGTTTTATGCTTTGAGTAACATTGTATTGAATAAAACGTAGCAAAATAGTATCATAAAATTAGTTTCAAATTAACTCTTATTATTTAGATAGTGAATTAAATATATAAAAACGTAATTTTTTTCGAGGAATAATAAATTTATGAGTAGCTCCTTTCATATGCCACTGCAAATACATTCTTTCAAAATACATATCTGGTGAATAAACTCCATAAAATCTTTTTAGATTAATCACAAGCTTAGTTGCAATCATAAACTTTCACATATAGATCTTTATTTTGAGTTATTTTATAGATAAAAGTGTCTCTAAATGTGATTTATAAGTCTTCTGATTGACTTATAAGCACATTTAAAGACATTTTAATCGATAAAAAAGTGTTCAGGATAAAAGCCATAAGCTCAGCGTTTCACAAAACGCTGCGAAGAGTTGACCGAAAAAGGATGTTCTGTTACTACAGACATTCGAGATCTTTCTCTAGCTTGTTTCAATAGGACTCAAAGAAAAAATGTCTGTAAATAATGAAAGGAAAATAAGGCTGCTCTTCAAACTTTGTCTTCAAATCTTTCATAAGAAGGCGCAATCTATGTATATAAGTTTATGTTTCCAAATGAGCTGGCACAACCATAGATTTCTATATAGGATGTTCCATTTTAATTCACTCTTAAGAACTTTTTTATTTTTTATTATAAAAAAATACTTCAGATAAAAGTTGTTTGGTTTGAAGAGGGACACATGATTCCGATGTGAGTAATGTCGTGCATGTCGTCATTTTCACAAAATTTTAAAGGTAACTAATTTCTAAAACTTAATTGTTTTCTTGAAATAAAAGTTATAGACCTCATCGAGATTGTTTCAAAATGCTTGCCAACATTTTTTGTATAAACTGTTCTAGAGATATGAAACTTCAAAGTTTACAAAGCTACTAACTTCACACATCCCACATAGCACATAATATTACATAATATCACAGTAATATTATATTACGTGCTATGTGGGATATGATTTGTGCAAAAGGCTTTAATGATTATTCTAGTACTCATACTATCTAAATTTCTATCCTACTTTTAACACTATCCAGGAACGGCGTGGACATAGTAAATTTCTGTTCCCTTTAGTGTGTTTGATTAACGTGAGTTCTCTTATAAACTTTGAAGTTTTATACCTCTGGAACGGTTTGCATAAAAGATAATTTTGGGGGTTTTTCGAAAAAAACTCTCAAGACTTACAACTTTTACCTCAAAGAAAAAATCAGATTCCACTTAAAAAATAATCGTTTTTAAGGATTCTTGAAAACAACGACCACGATATGATTCATATCGGAATCAAGTGTTTTCTTTCAAACTAATAATATTAGTCTTAATATAATAATTTTTGTCTTAAGCATTTTTTTACAATCAAAATTTTAAAAAATTTTTGGGAAGGACAAATCAAAATGAGGTACTCTGTAACATAAACATAATATCTAGACTGATAATATTTGTCGATGTACGGTCAAGAAATTGACGCGAAATATACGAGGGTGGTCTGAAAAGTTTCCGACCTCAACGTGAAGATAGCAGCACTTGTAAATAAAAGCTAGTGAATTTCGTTGTTCATCTGTTGACAGTTACTCACCGAAGTTTCAGCCATTTTGGACTCGCAGTTGTTATGTAACAGTCGTTTGAGTAAGTTGATGTGAGTGTTTTTGTGAAAATGGACAAAATCGAGTATCGAGCTGTCATTAAATATTTGTTTTTGAAAGGCAATACGCCTACGCAAATCAAAGATGAGTTGGATTCTGTGTATGGGGACTCTGCACCATCATTTACGACAGTGAAATTTTGGGCCGCTGAATT